ATTTTCTAGCTAGAAAATTGAATTTCTTATTTCTATCTTATTGAATATCGTATTTTCAAGAAAGTAGAAATTTGTCATTGAATTCGTATGGACTTTCCTAGAATATCTTTCATTATACTCTATAATGTATTTTCTAGTTTACAATGTAGGCTATTTTCGGTAAATTGTTTACATGATTTTATTGTTATTGTCCTTGTAGACAAGATGGAGACTATCATAGAAAAACTCTTCGAGATTTGCTCTACAAAATGAAAGAACTTTAAAAAAAATAAAAGCAGCCCCAGTATTGAATATTGGATTGTTACATTTGAATATGACGTATTTTCTATAGGAAACGGATCAACGCGTACATCGAAAGTAGTTGAAAAGTTTCTTCAAATAAAATAAATTATACCTAGTAAAAATCAGCATACGACCTTCTATCACCTCCCATAAAAATATTCTTCAAAATTAAAAAAAAATTTCTTCGAAAAATTTCCTTACCCCCTCCAGTGAGGGTGGACCATTTTTTTAAACGTAACTTAATTAATGACTTCCATTAGCCATGAATCTTAATGGTTAATGTTTTCTGAGAAGAACTTAATTCATTATTATTAATGACTAATGAAAACATTAACATTAATATTAATGCTAAGGTTTTCATGAAAACACTAGTTTTTCCATATTACTGAATTAGGTTTTTCTAAGGAAACATTATCTACAATTATTAATCAATTAACTGGTCTTAATAGCTAATGTGTTCTCCGAAAGTGTTAATTACTTAATATGGAAAGTTAATGCTTTCATGAAAACATTAACCATTAATATTGATGATTAATGAAAATATAATCCCTAACATTAACGAAAACATTACTATTCATACTAATAGTGAATGTTTTCGTTAATCGTTAATATCATTCAAGAACATTGACATTAATATTAATAATTAATAAGAACATTAATTTTAAAATTAATGATAATGTTTTTCATTAATCATTAATAATAATGACCCACCCCTACGATTAACTCTCGCCAACCTTTGTTAAATATCGTTATTTTCTTATAAAATGCTGTTTTCTTGCCAATGGGTTTGAACCGATAACCGCACCTACGGTCACCGTAGTTGGGCGGGTAATCGTAAGTACGATTATCGTAGTTAGACCAGTAACCGTACCTACGGTTATCGGCTTGAACCGGTGACGGTTAACCGGTGAACGATGGTCACCGTTGCATCCCTATTCCCATGCATGCTGATTAACCACATATGAGCCACGAGGACTTGTTTTGTGTATGTAAATAACGTAATCATTGTGCTATCGGATGGGTGGTTCGAGATAAACAGCCGTTAGTGACTTGGCCAAGGTCATTCTATGTATAATGGCGCCGAGGTTCGAGCACACTATCTTGTGGATACGTGTCGAACATCTTAACCATTCAGCCATAGCGGCTCGTAAATTGTAGAGCTTTTCACACTGTATCTCATGGTGTATTTTATTTTCTTTCTAATAATGCATAGGGAAACATAAAAAGATGAAATACAAAAACAAGAATTCATCATGTATTTGAAAAAATCATTTTTTCGAAGCATCAAAAATTGGTGACCCAGAGCGTTCTCCATTTTGAAAACAAAAAATTGAAATTATAAGAAAGCTATTCGTTGTTAATTCTTGAGCTCCTCACGCTGCATGCTGTGGTTTTTTTTCCTTTTTTTTAACACAATGTCTTAGGAGATGAAAAAGAGAACTGGAACAAGGTACTTTTTTATCCAAGGCAGACTTTCTCAGCCGTTCTTTCTGTAAAACATCATCTCATGAATTCCATATCCTGAGTTCTACAACTTTAAATTCAATTCAACAAAACCACATTCGATTCATGGTTCTAATTTATTTAATTTCATGATTGTTGAAATATAATCCATTATTTTTAAATCGCTCGTGAAGTGTTGTTTTATCCGTTGCTCACGATAATGTTTCTTATATATTCAGTAAAAATTAATCAAAGAATCACATGTGACATATATGAAATAAAGACAATAAATGATGAAATAATTTCATATCTCAGTATTAAATAGCTGTATTCTTATACTTGAATCAAGTTGGAGAAGAGAAAAATATTATTTGGAGTGCTATAAAACATGAAAGTTTTACTTGATTGGTTCGTCACTTCTACATAGAGTAATCCTATAGACTTTGGTTTACGTGCTTGTATCACTTCTGTGAACCGCAACAAATCTATGAGCATTAATATTAGTTACAAACGACATATATTATCTATTTAACTTGAACAAACCGTATAAATATTATCATGAACTAGATATCTGAATTATAAATATTAATAACTTCGAAATTTCTTTAATAATAGTTGTAATAAGTATAGAAAATTAGTTCAATGCCTTTGGTTGACGGAATGATTTACGTAAGGAATATGATTTCCAGTTATCAGTTTGCTTAACACAAGGCGCCGCAACTCTTACACGTAGTGCTGTAAGTAAAACTCATGTCTTTCATGTGTTTAAAGTAAACTACTACCTGTTCTGTTTCAGAAACACTAGTTATAAGATTAAACAACTGCTTAGGCCATATCAAAAGTAGTGGCAGTGGCACTTTAATACCGTATAGTAGACTTTAAAAACTTTCTTTCTATATAATCTGATAGAGAAAGAAAAGCTCTATCTTTCTATCCTATTTGATCAAACTTCAACCAATATCATAGTAATCAAATTTCAATAAGATGCATTTCGTTATCATGTGTGCTGGTTGTAGTAATACGCATTTTGAAAAAACGAGTGCGTATATTTTGAAGAACTTTTAATGAAAAAACATGATAGAGAAGTGCAGTTTTCACCGTTGGAAAGAGGAGATGAAGGTGCATCGAATCGTACATTCTAGTTTTTCCTGATCTGTTCTTTGTAAGGTTTCTAATTGATCTTTTTAAGAACAAATTTATCTGGTAAGTTATTCACAGTGAATTTTCAATTATCAAGTATAAATTCAAGCCACTAATCGAAGATTTGAAAAGTACGGAAGGCTGAGATAGATAATATGCATTCTAGTTGAGCCTCTAATACAGTTTTGTAGAAAAATCTGTGAAAAAGCTCACTTTTGTGTTTTTTCCTTATTTTCATGAAAAAGCATTTTCCCCACTGTTAGAAACTTTAATAAAAATACTTCAGAACTCAATATTAGTAAAACCTACAGTATACGATTCGATGCATCATCGTTTCCTCTTTCCAACGGTGAAGACTGCACTCATCTATCTTATTTCTATCAGCAGTTAGTCAAAAAACCTCACTAACGCTCATAGAACTGTAACACATGCGAACAAAAAAAGCCTTATCGAAATTGTATTACTATGATATCAGTTGAAGTATGATCAAATAGCATAGAAAGATAGAGCTTTTTTTCTCTCTCAGACTATGTAGAAAGCAAGTTTCTTCAAGTCTGCTATACAGTATTAAATTGTCATTGCCACTGCTTTTGGTACGCCCTAACTATTAGAAATACAAATCATATTTTGGTTAAAAGCTTAGGAATCAATCTTCATAGACCTTAAAGTCTCTCTCCTCAAAAACCTATCTGAGTTCTGGTACATTCAAATCCCATGAACTTTTCAGAAAACGTTGAGACCATGGTGGAGACGTTATGATAAAACTTTCACCATTACATAATGACATTTGGAGGAGATATGGCCAAGCAAGATTCAAAAATAGCACATTTGGCAAACGAATTTTTTTTTGTTAAGGCTCATTTCACTTCTTTTTGTTTGAAAGAGCATATTATAATGCAAGGTCTGAAAGAATCTTGTTTTTAAATCTTACTGTTTAATCAGAGCAAAAGATTACAAGTTCAACGGCTCAAAAAATCTCTCAAAATAAGCGCCAATTCATATTAATGTTTGTATATGTAGTAAATCTAATGCTTAATTTAAAAAAAGGACCCGTTCGTGCTCTGCATCTTGATATGCTCTTTCAAATAAAAAATTTATCGACTACAATAAGCTCTTCCAGTAATTCCGGACGGCTATATTAGAAAACGATACACAGAAAACACGAAAAAAATGTTCAGATTTTCGTACAAAACTGCTTATTTTTCGAGTAGAGGGTGACGAAGATCCTTAAATTTTTTTATTCAAACCGATATACAAAATGAAAATCTATTTCATTTTCGAAAGAGTAGACTATGAACTATCTTCTCATATATTCATATCAATGTCGTATTCCTGGCGAATATCGATGTTTTTTGAGAAGAGGAGGCCTTAAAGAGTTATGGTGATTATTTTTAGATAGCCCTTGAAAAGTCATGGGGATTAGTCCTAATACATTTTAAATTAACCTTTATTTAATTAAAAAAGTCCAAATAAACTCATATTTTTCCATTTCAATCATTTAATATAAATGAATCAAGTGGTTTAGTGAAAAAATTTAATTGTAATATTAAGTGTTAAGTGATGCCAAGGGGGAAAAAGCGATTTATGAGTTTCATGATTTTTCTGAGTTTAGCTGATTTAAAATGAGTTTGAGAAAACGAAAAATTTGCTAAACTAACTAAAAACTATTCCAAATCATAAATTATTACTGAAAATCATTCAAAGGCACCGAAACTCACGCAAACTCATTCCAATACAGTTAATTTATATTGATTGTAAGTTGAGTTTTACTGTGATTTAAATCAGCTTTTCCCTCCTTGAGTGATGCACTTACTTTTAATGTCAAGCGTTAAGTGATCCATTAACACATAATATTAATAAATTAAGTAATTCATAGAAAAAAATTAACACTTAATATTAATTGTAAAGTAATAACTGTAAATCTAATTTAAAATTAATGTAAACGGCCCATCCCTAATTATATCCATTTTGAGTTATGCTAATAACCTATGGCGCGAAAGTCTTGGTACAAAAGTATTAGTCATTTTTTTACTTGTACGTAAGCCATTTTTTCTCATCAGTGACTCTTTGAAGAGGTCGTATGAAGAGCTTCTAATCGATTATAATTCATTGTATACACTCATTTCTATAAAAGAATGCTTCGTTCTGACAGAGAGCAAATTGCGAAACGTATTGTGCAACACTACAGAACAGTAGCTAAGAAAAAGAAGAATATCACTGTTAATCATTTTTTGGCCGAAAATATTCCACGTCAAACAATCTACCGTATCATCTGGAAGTATGATACATATGGTACTATTGGAGACAAACCCAGAAGTGGTCATCCACGAAAAACATCTACCGGTCAACGAACACGTCTCAAAAGATTGGTGAACCACAAGACCGGCATTTCATTAAGAAGAATAGCACAAAAATTCAATGTTCATCGAAGGACAATTCAACATGAATTGATTGATACGGGCATACACTATCGAGAAAAGAAATGTGCTCCTCGATACACAGAAAAACAAATCGAAGAAGTGCCAGCACGTGCTCGACGTTTATATCGTACATTATTGAACAATGATTTTGAACTCATTATGGGCGATGAAAAATATTTCGCCTTAACCAATGGATCGGTGTCAACTAATCGCGGATTCTACAGATCAGATTCAAGTACCACACCTTCAGATGTGAAATTCAAACGCACTCAAAAGTATCCTGCTAAAGTTTTGGTCTGGATCGCCATATCTGAAAAAGGTATGTCAAAGCCGTTCTTTGCAAAACAAATACAAGCAATTAATGAAAGAACATATTTGATGCCGTTTGTGAACAGCTATCATAATATCGAAAAAAGTGTTATTCTGGCCCGATTTGGCATCAAGTCATTATACTGCAAGTGTAACCGATTTTTTCGAAGAGAAAAATATCAATTTGGTACCTAAAGAAAAAAATCCACAGAATTGTCCTCAGGCACGCCCTATTGAAACAATTTGGCAAATTTTAGAAGAAAAGGTTTATGGCGATGGTTGGGAAGCCAAAACAATCGACCAATTGAAACAAAGGATACAACAACAGCTGAAAAGAATTGACATGAAGTCTGTACAAGCAATATTTTCGTCAATAAGAAAGCAATTACGAAAAATCGCAGATAAAGGACCATTCGCAGTTCGCTGATTTTAATTTTTAGTACATGTGTATACGTACTTTCTTTTAATATGATTAGCTTAAAAGTTAAGTTCTTGTTAAGAAAAAAAAGAAAAAAAATTGTACCAAGACTTTCGCGCCATAGGTTACTCTTTTTATTCATATTTCCTTGTGTTTGACCAAAAAATCATCATTGAATGATGATCCGTTTTACTGAGAAAAATACTTTGAAATCTACCATTTCTTACAGTTGATAGTTGAGCTATAAGAAAGCATGACTACAATCTATGTATATTGAAACAACACAAAATAAAATGGAATACAAAGTGAAATACTTGTGACCATAAAATGAATTTATAAATCATTTTAAACTGTACAGTATATTGATTATAACACAATCCTTTCTAAGGTAAATCGAAAAATTTATTTTAGCGAAATTATCAGCAA